ATTTTTATATTATTCTTTATTTTTTTTTTTATATATATACTGTCACCCTAGCAGTACAGTGTCACCATGGTGACAATGTACAACTTTTGGGGGGGTGATGAAAATTTTTTTTTTTTTTTTTACACTGATTGCTTTTACGCCCATATAGGATGTAAAAGAAATCATTTCTCTTTCTCTCTGTCTGCATTCTTGCAGCCATTGAGAACTACTGAGTGAGCTGTGATTGGTCACAGCTTGTCACATGGTACAAGGCTGTTGATAGCCTTGTACCATGTGACCTCTGTGATCATTCACAGATTTCACACGTAGTGACATCTTGCTTACTACTTTGCATGTGATCACTGATTGGTCAATCAATGATCACATGATCGGGACCTCGTACAGAGGTCCCATCCAACGATTAGTGTTTCACTGTGTCCGGAGGACACAGCGGGCACCGGATCGCAGTGCTGCGCGCTCCCGGGGAGAGTGCACAAGCAGGGTGCGGGGAGGCCGTTTATAAACGGCCACCTGACCCTGCAGTGCCACCGTCCAGCCGTTTATATACAATGGCCAGTCGGGAAGTGGTTAAATTAAAAAAAAAAAAGATAAAGAGTTATTTGGTCACAAGCCAATTGGCCACTATACATAAATGAAAGTGTGGCTTATAACCCTGAGGGCAGGGGGCATATTAAAACATCCTTTGGTTCATGCCAAGCATGTGCAGCGGTGCACCCTGTGATAGCTGTGTCCCTGAGACAAGGTAGATCATAGAATAGGGTACAGTGCCAATGAAATTGGTCCTGTACCATGTGAATGATGTGACCAATCACAGCATTTACACATGTAAACAAAGGCTGCATGTTGCAGCCAGTGCTCTGTCTCCACTCTCAGCCATTGGCTGTGAGAGGAAAGAGAGTGTTTCCCACAGTGATATAAATATGTATTTTAACCTCTTGCCACCCACATAATGCATATGTGTGGTGGCAAAGAGGTAATTTTTCAGAAACTTATATAATGTATAAATGTATAAAAAATATAATGTATTCCAATAATTCAACATGCCTCTCAGCAAATAGTTTGGGGTGTCTACTTCCCAAAAAGGGGTCATTTGGGGGGGGGGGGGGGCTGTGCTATCCTGGCATGTCAGAGCCTCTGAAACTGTGATAGGTAGTGAGGAAGTGAAATGAGGAAATTATGCACCTTCAGGCTTATAAGGGATGACTGGATTTCGGGCTCCAGTATGCAGCTAGGCTCTCAAATAGTCTCACACATGTGGTATCCCAATACTCGGGAGAAGTAGCAGAATACATTTTGGGGTATGATTCCACATATACCCATGGCATGTGTGTGCAATATATCATTAGGTGACAACTCTAAAAACTTAAATCATCTACGGACATGCCTCTTAGCAAATAGCTTAGGGTGTCTAATTTCCAAAAAGGGGTCATTTGGGGGTGTTTGTACTGCCCTGGCATTTTAGCACCTCAAGAAATGTGATAGCAAGTCAGAAAGTAAAAGCTGTGTAAATTCCTGTATCTATATCATAGTTTGTAGACGCTATAACTTTCACACAAAACAATAAATATACACTTATTGGGATTTTGTTACTAAAGACATGTAGCAGAATACATTTTGGCCAACATTTATGACTACGTTTATTGGATATCTTTTATAACAGAAAGTAGAAAATGTTGTTGTTTTTCTACATTTTCAGTATTTTTTTTGTTTATATCACAAAAAATAAAAATCCCATTGGTGATCAAATACTATCAAAAGAAAGGTCTATTTGTGCGAAAAAAAGGACACAAATTTAGTTTGGGTACAGCTTTGCATGACCACATACACGTATATACTGCATACAATTCTCCAAGGGTATGCAAACCTTTGAGCACAACTGTAGATAGCATATAAGTCTCACGTATGTTGTATCCACACAATTGAGTAGAAACGTGTTTTGGCATGTGATTGTAAGTACTGTATTTGTAAGTATACCAATGCTGTATGAAGAAAAACTTGTTAAAATGGCAACTTTGTGAAATAAAATCAAATTTATTTACTTTCTTTATTTTCCAAACAAATGGGTCAAAACAATAAAACTTAAAAAAAAAACTCATCTTGCTTCTTAATAAACACCTTGGAGTGTCTACTTTTCAAATTGGGTTGTTTTGGGGGTATTTGTACTGTCTGGCATTTCAGGGCCTCCATTCACTTCACCAGCCATGTATATAAGGGTTGGGGTGGTGGTGAAATCGTTGAGCATATATAGACATGACCATAGACCAAATATGGCTATGTCTATATTTGATCAATGCTGTCAACAAATCCTCACCCCCATGTATATAAACCTAACAACAGCTCCAGGGAGTTGTCAATAGTGTGGGAGTGTAGAGCGAGTGGATGGGTCAACGAACTGACAATGAATGAGTCAAAACAGCAACTCCCACCTCTTTTATCTCCACTCTTCCACAGCGCTCTGTCCAAGGGTATCGCCAGGGACAGCATGTTATAGGATTTCTTAGCAATGTATAAATGTTTATTTATAAAAGTAAGATTATATATATAGTATCTCAGAGAAGTGAGTACACCCCTCACATTTTTGTAAATATTTTCATGTGACAACACTGAAGAAATGACACTTTGCTACAATGTAAAGTAGTGAGTGTACAGCTTGTATAACAGTGTAAATTTGCTGTCCCCTCAAAATAACTCAACACACAACCATTAATGTCTAAACCGCTGGCAACAAAAGTGAGCACACCCCCTAAGCGAAATGTCCAAGTTGGGGCCAAAGTGTCAGTATTTTGTGTGGCCACCATTATTTTCCAGCACTATCTTAACCCTCTTGGGCATGGAGTTCACCAGAGCTTCACAGGTTGCCACTGGAGTCCTCTTCCACTCCTCTATAACGACATCACGGAGCTGGTTGATGTTAGAGACCTTGCGGTACACCACCTTCTGTTTGAGGATGCCTCACAGATGCTCAATAGGGTTTAGGTCTGGAAACATGCTTGGGCAGTCTATAACCTTTACCTTCAGCTTCTTTAGCAAGGCAGTGGTCGTCTTGGAGGTGTGTTTGGAGTCGTTATCATGTTAGAATACTGCCCTGTGACCCAGTCTCCGTAGGGAGGGGATCATGCTCGGCTTCAGTATGTCACAGGTACATGTTGGCATTCACGGTTCCCTCAATGAACTGTAGCTACCCAGTCCCGGCAGCACTCATGCAGCCCCAGACCATGACACTCCCACCACCATGCTTAACTGTAGGCAAGGCACACTTGTCTTTGTACTCCTTACCTGATTGCCGCCACAAACGCTTGACAGCATCTGAACCAAAAAAGTTTATCTTGGTCTCATCAGACCACAGGACATGATTCCAGTAATTCATGTCCTTAGTCTGCTTGTCTTCAGCAAACTTTTTGCGGGATTCTTTTGCATCATCTTTAGAAGAGGCTTCCTTTTGGGACGAAGCCATGCAGACCAATTTGATGCAGTGTGTGGCGTATGGTCTGAGCACTTACAGACTGACCCCCCACCCTTTCAACCTCTGCAGCAATGCTGGCAGCACTCAAACATCTGTTTCCCAAAGACAACCTCTGGATATGATGCTGAGCACGTGTACTCAACTTCTTTGGTTGACAATAGCGAGGCCTGTTCTGAGTGGAACCTGTCCTGTTAAACGCTGTATGGTCTTGGCCACCTTGCTGCAGCTCAGTTTCAGGGTCTTGGCAATCTTCCTATAGCATAGGCCATCTATATGAAGGGCAACAATTCTTTTTTTCAGATCCTCAGAGAGTTCTTTGCCATGAGGGGCCATGTTGAACTTCCAGTGACCAGTATGAGAGAGTGAGAGTGATAACACCAAATTTAACATACCTGCTCCCCATTCACACCTGAGACCTTGTAACACTAAGGAGTCACATGACACTGGGGAAGGAAAATGGCTAATTGGGCCCAATTTGGACATTTTCACTTAGGGGTGTACTCACTTTTGTTGACAGCGGTTTAGACATTAATGGCTGTGTGTTGAGTTATTTTGAGGGGACAGCAAATTTACACTGTTATACAAGCTGTACACTCACTACTTTACATTGTAGCAAACTGTCATTTCTTCAGTGTTGTCACATGAAAAGATACAATAAAATATTTACAAAAATGTGAGGGGTGTACTCGCTTCTGTGAGATACTGTATATATATATATATATATATATATATATATATATATATATATATTCAAAACACATATAGAAATACATCATTCTGTAAAGTGAAAGTAGTGTGGCATTCAAAGGATTTGGCAAGAGCAAAACATCAGAATCTAGTAAGACAGCTAATTTAAATTTCCCTTTTTCTCTTTCCACGTCCTGTAAATGCCCCTCCATGATGCTTTTTTATAGTAAATTAGATAAAAATTTATACAATTAGAAAATAAATAGAATCAACTCAAAACCAATATATCTTGATTTGCATTTCAGGGCATCTTAAAAAAGAGGACTCCTGTAGGAGGTAAGTTTTCTAATGGCACCTAATACATCTTTGTTCCTCAGACTGTAAACAAATGGATTGAGCATTGGGACAACAGCCACATAAAGCATTGAGATTAAGTTGTCTTGTTCTTTAGAGTGATCAGACTCTGGTTTTATATAAACAAACAGGATTGGTCCATAAAATAATATAACAGTGGTGAGATGAGAAGTGCAACTAGAAAATGCTTTAAGACGTCCTTCAGAGGTACGAATCTTCAGTATAGTCCTGATGATTTTCACATAGGAGATTATAGTGAGGGAAAATGGAACACAGGCTATGAGAAAATCCTGGAATAACATAAACATTTCCCTGCTTTTTGTATCATCAGATGAGAGGGCAGTTATTGTCTTCAGATCACAGAAAAAATGGTTCATTTTGTGGGAATTGCAAAATGAAAGAACAGATGTCAGTAGAGTCAGCAACAAAGAGTTCAGAGCAGATACAAGCCAGCAGAAGAGTGCTATAGTGATACAAACATTCTTGTTCATCATCACAGTGTATTGCAAAGGCTTACAAACCGCTACATAGCGATCATAAGCCATAGAAGTTAGCACAAAAATATCACAGATGGCACAGAATGTAAAGAAATACAACTGAGTGATACAATCTTGAAAAAAGATTCGGTTGTCCTGGGTTATTGTAATGGACAAAAGTTTGGGGAGAGTGGTTGAGACATATGTAAGATCTACAACTGAAAGATTACAAAGGAAGAAATACATTGGGGTGTGAAGCATAGACATCAGAGAGATAAGTGTAATAATGATTAGGTTCCCAAAAATGGTCAGAAGGTACATAGTCAAAACTCCAACAAAAAGTGCAAGTTGTCCTGTTTTAGATGTAGTGAAACCCAAGATGTGGAATTCTTTTATTGTGTTGTTTGGACATTCATTCATTTTATCTGTTAGGAAAAACATATATAACATATGTTTGATTATTGTATAGGCTACTTTAAGTGTATTTTATCCTAATTATTTTTTCCTATGTGTGTGTCCATCTTGCCTTACTCTGAGCATAATTTATAATATAGGCACGCAAAGTATTCTGAACCCCGACCCCCACTATCAAGAAGAAGAGTTGCATGCTCACATAGCAGAACTTTTTAACCTTGTAAAAATGGTAAGAAAGGCCATTTCTGAAACTAAGCAAAAACAGTTATGGTACATGCATAGTTAGAACGTTTTGGGTGGGATACGTAGTCATGCACATTAGTTATGTGTAATTACTATATGTATCCCCTTACCCGTAGGCTGCCACTTCTGTTTAAAGTCAGTCTCTTCTTTGCCTCTTCAGAACCAACAGTTGCTGTCTTGAGTGGCTGTCTTTCAGTGCTAACGGAGTCAACTGCAGCTGCTGCTACAAAGTAAAGGTTTGCCATACGTCCGCCCCTCTGCCTTCTTCACAATTCACAGATCTCATATTACTACAATTTTTAGAATGCCTGAGGGTCTGTGAGTGGTCAGTGGAATGACATAAAGTAATTGATCCACCCATTCACAGATTATGAAGCATTGTGGGAATGTAGTAATACAGTATATGCTTCAGTGAAAACTCAATAAAACAGTGTCAGCCCTGCCTGCTGGACTACAGAATCGCACCTGTACTCCACCCCCTCTGTCTCATTCCAAATGTTTACATTGACTTGTTTTGAATGACATAATTGATCCACCCATTCATAGAATATGAATCATTGTGGGAATGTAGTAATATTTGCTTCAGTGAAAACACAACCAACAGTGTCAGCCCTGCCTGCTAGACTACAGAATATCACCTGTACTCCACCCCTCTCAGTCTCATTCCAAACATTGACATTTACTTATTTTCTTGCAAAACAATGCTGCTATCTTAACTCCCAAATGTCTGCTCACATACCGTGTGTAGGAAAAGGACTATTGGGAGATGTAGTTCTGGAGCACATCTACATTATTGGAAACTAAGCTCCCAGCAGCTTACCCTACAAATATTTTACAAGCCCAGTGATAACGTCACAAGGAAGTAATAAAACTTGTTTCTTATTACAGGAACACGCCCAGAGAACAAAAACATTTTTCTGGTCAAGCTGTAGGGAAGGGGGAGGTTAGAGAAACATTTTAGAAATTTTTGGATATGAACTTTAAGCTATTTAATGCCTTTTGATTGGGTTAGTCCTCCCAAAGCAGATATTTCAGTTTTGAACAGATACACATAAATAGCACGGCACCTTATCCAATCTTTACGATGTTCTGTTCTTGGACAATCAACATCTGTCCTCACACATTCCATGGTGGTTGGATTAATAGAGAAGTAGGAGATTTAGAAAAAAAACATTTTTACCCACCTAGGTGGATAGAGCATTGGTCCAGTGCTGTATGTGTCCCCCACTGGCTCTGCACTGAGCGTTCAAAGACCGCTGATTGCTTAGTTCTCAGCATTCTGTTAGCAGACAGCCTTAGACTGTCAGTCACTGGCTCTCTGCTCTGCCCCTCCAGAGCTCAATGGAGAGCTGGGCTGTGGATGGGGAAGGTGCAGCTTGCTCAGGCTCTCAGGAGATCACTAAGAGGCTGAGCCAGGTGCCTGTCCAGGCTTCTTGGTGGATCCTGATCATGTGGTCGGGACCTTTTCATGGCTCTGTGATTTCATCTGACAGTGGGCTTCAGCCCACTGTAGGCTGAAGATGGATCACTGGAGTGCAGAACTAACTGCTCTCTTGAGATCCATAGTTTTGACTATAGTTCTCCTTTAAGGTGTCTGTGATACCTGTGTGGATATAAATTCTGGGGTATTTTCATGACACCACTGCACCTCCATAAGTTCAATACAGTTAGTGAACTTTTTCACCCTTAGACAGCAAATGTTTTGCTGGCAAGATCAACAGGTGAGAGCAAAAATGACTAAAAAAAAAGAAAAAAATGCAAGGACTGGTAATTTACAGTATTTGAAATATATGTTTATGGGTTTACATACATTTTAAGAAGAAATAAAAAACTATAAAATTGAAATACTGTGCATATAACTCATGTATCTTTTTCATATAAAGTCTTTTTAATTTATTTAGACTGTTCAGCCACCATGTTCTTATATGCTCCTTACTATACTATCAGTCTTTACAGAAACATTTTCAATCATCTCTTACTATGATTTCTAAAAATAGTTGGTTAACTGTGTACATCTTAGTAATACAATTCTGTAGTTATGGGTAACTTTTAAACATATGACAGAATTTTGTTAACTCGTTAAATATGTATTGAACCAAAGATACAACAATTTTATTTTTATAGAAAGCAGTGACTCTAAGCCATATTAAAAAAAGTAAAATATAATATATATTAAAAATTATACACTGTAAATGTATGCGTATAAAGCATGAGCAAGACCATCAACAATATTTAACTATTTGAAATACACATATCAAAAGTTAAAAAAATAAAAAGCAAAATAAAATGTCATTACATTGACACATAAATATATGTAAAAATGTAGTCTGATGTTTCAGCCATCTAAAAATGTGTAACAACTGATTTGTAAAAATAAAAATTTAATAACAGTTCGGGTAGAACCATGTTCAGAAATTGTGAGGGTATACGTACCAGCACACTGTTTAGCTTATTTAGGATTTTGTTTCTTTTAAGGAAGGCTTTCTATGATTATATACTAGATCAGGGGTGTGGGCAAACATTTTGACTTGAGGGCCGCAATGGGTTCATATATTGGACCCGGGGGCCGGACAAAGAGTAGATGAATGATGTGTATGTGTCATCCATAGTAAGTATAGTAATATTCCCCCATAGTAAGCATAGTAATTAATCCCCCATATAGTAATTCATCCCCCATAGTAATTCATCCCCCATATAGTAATTCATCCCCCATATAGTAATTCATCCCCCATAGTAATTCATCCCCCATATAGTAATTCATCCCCCATATAGTAATTCATCCCCCATAGTAATTCATCCCCCATATAGTAATTCATCCCCCCTATAGTAATTAATTCCCCATATTAATTCATCCCTCATATAGTATTTCACCCCCCCACAGTACTATTCCCCCCCAAGTAGTAAGCCAAGTCCCCCCTGTGTCATATTCACTTACCTTTGCTCCGCGCGTTCCTCTCGCCGTGTTCCCGCGCCGTTCCGGTCTTCAGGGCGGACTGTGAGAGGAGCCCAGCTCCCCTCCCCTCACGTTCACGCTGCCCCGCCTACACACATCCTGACAGCAACATCCGCGGGCCCGATTAAAAGGTCCGCCGGACCGTAGTTTGCCCATTGCTGTACTAGATTCTATCCCTATGGGAGTTAATCAACAGTTTATTTCAGTCTCAGATCAGTTAGTATAAATAAATGAATAACCTCATAACTGTTTTCAACAGAGAATTTTAAAATAGAAGAGACAATGTGGATTGTGGATCAAAGCAATTTATATGCACAACAATTTATCGCCGCCAACCCAAATTCAAACCTTGCCAGACCAGTGGCATGGAAACTCATTACAGTTTTCAAATTTACATTTTTTTGGGGCCTAACCCTCAACATGGGCATTACTAAAAGAAATGAATTGCGGTTGTATTGGACCGCAGACCCGATTCATCATATGCCCGTGTTCTCTGCTGCCATGGCCAGGCATAGATATGAGAGTATAATGTGTTTTATGCATTTCAACGACAATACACTCTGTCATCCTTGGGGTGACCCTGAATTTGACCGGCTCCACAAAATTCAGCCCCTCGCAAATCACCTTAACCAAAGATTTGCAGATGTCTATACTCCCCAGCAAAACATCTGCGTTGATGAGTCCCTCATTAATTTTTCTGGCCGCCTTGCATTCAAACAATTTCTCCCCTGCAAGCGTGCCAGATATGGGGTCAAGATGTAGAAGACCTGTGAGAGGGCAACAGGCTATACTTATAAGTTTTGGATTTACGAGGGAAAAGATAGTCACGAGGAGCCCCCTGGATGCCCAGACTACATGTGGAGTAGTGGCAAGATAGTTTGGGACTTGGTGTCATCTTTTTTCCATATGGAGTACCACTTATACAGTTGCAAGAAAAAGTATGTGAACCCCTTGGAGTTTTGCATGAATTGGGCATAAAATGTGCTCTGAACGTCCTCTAAGTCACAACAATAGAAGAACACAGTCTGCTGAACATAATACTACACAAACATTAGATGTTGCCATGGTTTAATTGCACATAACATGTAAACATTCACAGTGCAGGGAGGAAAAAGTATGTGAGGCCCTAGCTTAATGACTTCTCCCAGAGCTAATTGGAGCCAGGAGTGAGCCAACCTTGACTCCAATCAGTGTGATGATATTGGATGTGTTGCTGACAGCTGTCCTGCCCTTAAAAAACACACACCTGATTTAGGTTTACTGGTTTCAAGAAGCACTGTCTGATGTGAACCATGCCTTGCAGAAAAGAGCTCTCAGAAGACCTACGATCAAGAATTGTTGACTTGCATGAAGCTGGAAAGGGTTACAAAAGTATCTCCAAAAGCCTTGATGTTCATGTGTCCATGGTAAGACAGACTGTCTACAAATGGAGAAAGTTTAGCACAGTTGCTACTCTCCCTAGGCGGGTCGTCCTGCCCAATTCATGCAAAACTCCACGTAATCCCAAGGGGTTCACATACTTTTTCTTGCAACTGTATAAGTGGTACTCCATAATTGTTGGTACACAATTTTTATTCCAGCGTGCCGCTATTTAGACATTTATTCAATCTTGGAACTGGCGCTTGTGGTAAAGTGTGACCTAATGTGTGCCCACCATTAGAAGTGGGTGGATGCAGGGCGGTGTATATTCTAATGGTGGGCATACCACACA